AGGTTCTGTTGACGATTATTTGTATTTGTAGTACGTGGGTGAAGCATATACAGCGTTGTGGTTCGAACAAAAGTCATCAGCGAAGCACTTGTTCGAGAAGTGTTCGAACGTCATCAGTTGTCAGTCGTGTGTAAACCGTTTTTCATTCATAAACAGCGGGTTTGGCGGGTGCATGGAATGGACTATGGACATTGTTTATGCTGGTCCTGGTGAATTAAGGGATACTTTACTTGGTTTCTCGTGTACACACACACGCGAATGGTTGTATGTAAACATGACTAGCATGGCACATTAGGCCTACTGCAGTGTTGCTACCTCGCACGTGTAGCTAACATAGTTACAGTGATGAAGACTGTGTAGGGAACATGGTTACAGTGGTGATGGTTACTGGGATCCTGTCATCGAGTGTCACTCTGCTGTCATAGCATGACACGAGAGTCACTCTGCTGTCATAGCATGACACGAGTGTCACTCAGCTGTCATAGGATGACACGAGTGTCACTCCGCTGTCATAGCATGACACGAGAGTCACTCCGCTGTCATAGCATGACACGAGAGTCACTCGGCTGTCATAGCATGACACGAGTGTCACTCAGCTGTCATAGGATGACACGAGTGTCACTCGGCTGTCATAACATGACACGAGTGTCACTCTGCTGTCATAGCATGACACGAGTGTCACTTTGCTGTCATAACATGACACGAGTGTCACTCTGCTGTCATAGCATGACACGAGTCATTGTCGGTGTCATTCTTAGAACAGTTTAATTATTCTCAATAAGAGAACGATGGCAATCATTAGATTTAAATAATAATAATATTAACAATATATTAAAAAATAAAGTAAGAACAGAAAGAGGGAGAGGAAGCAACAGAAGACAAGGAGAATCAGAGGAAAATTATGATAATTATTTTAATTTGCCCTTCGTAGCCGATTTCTCATAAACAGGACCCACTGTGTGTGTTATAATAATGTCTTTTATATGGACCAAAAACCTTTTCAGAGTGAGTTTTCAAAGGGTTAATGGCCACAGTGGAACCCTTTATATGGAGCTGGTAACCCTGTAAGGGACGTTTTTAGGGGTCAGTTGGTCCATGATGTTGTCTGTGTCTGTCTGTCTCTCTGTCTGTGTCTGTCTGTGCGTCTCTGTGCCTGTTTGTGCCTGTATGCGTGTCTGTGCCAGTCTGTGTCTGTCTGTGCGTGTCTGTGCCTGTCTGTGTGTGTCTGTGCCTATCTGTGCCTGTCTGTGCCTATCTGTGCCTGTCTGTGCGTGTCTGTGCCTATCTGTGCCTGTCTGCCTGTCTGTGCCTGTCTGTGCGTATCTGTGCCTATCTGAGCGTGTCTGTGCCTGTCTGTGCGTGTCTGCGCCTTTCTGTGCCTATCTGTGCGTGTCTGTGCCTGTCTGTGCGTGTCTGTATCTGTCTGTGCGTGTCTGTATCTGTCTGTGCCTGTCTGGGCCTCTCTGTGCCTATCTGTGCGTGTCTGTGCCTGTCTGTGCGTGTCTGTGCCTGTCTGTGCCTGTCTGTGCCTGTCTGTGCCTATCTGTGCGTGTCTGTATCTGTCTGTGCCTGTCTGGGCCTCTCTGTGCCTATATGTGCCTGTCTGTGCCTGTTTGTGCTTGTATGTGCCTGTCTGTGCCTGTCTGGGCCTGTCTGTGCGTGTCTGTGCCTGTCTGTGCCTGTCTGTGCCTGTCTGTGCCTGTCTGTGCCTGTCTGTGCCTGTCTGTGCGTGTCTGTGCCTGTCTGTGTCTGTCTGTGCGTGTCTGTGCCTGTCTGTGCCTGTCTGTGCCTGTCTGTGCCTGTCTGTGCCTGTCTGTGTCTGTCCGTGCGTGTCTGTGCCTGTCTGTGCCTGTCCGTGCGTGTCTGTGCGTGTCTGTGCCTGTCTGTGCCTGTCTGTGCGTGTCTGTGCCTGTCTGGCAGCATGCATCAGTCTCGCTGACAGATGTGTGTTCTTGTCGTGAACTGTCACCATACAGTTTAAGTCTTCATGTGACATTGTATGTGAGTGATTGTATGTTTTTTTATCATTATTTCGTTCAATGATCATAATTTATCTCTCTCGCTGCCTCTCTCTCTCTCTCTCTCTCTCTCTCTCTCTCTCTCTCTCTCTCTCTCTCTCTCTCTCTCTCTCTCTCTCTCTCTCTCTCTCTCTCTCTCTCTCTCTCTCTCTCTCTCTCTCTCTCTCTCTCTCTCTCTCTCTCTCTCTCTCTCTCTCTCTCTCTCTCTCTCTCTCTCTCTCTCTCTCTCTCTCTCTCTCTCTCTCTCTCTCTCTCTCTCTCTCTCTCTCTCTCTCTCTTCTCTCTCTCTCTCTCTCCTCTCTCTCTCTCTCTCTCTCTCTCTCTCTCTCTCTCTCTCTCTCTCTCTCTCTCTCTCTCTCTCTCTCTCTCTCTCTCTCTCTCTCTCTCTCTCTCTCTCTCTCTCTCACACACACACTGTCTAATATAACACACTGTCAGAATCCGGGACCCCACAACCGTATCCACACACACACTCAGACACATACACACACACACTCACACACACACACACACACACACACACACACACACACACACACACACACACACACACACACACACACTCAGACACATACACACACACACATAGAGCCCAGTAGGCTCAGAAATCTGTACACCAGTTGATTGACAGGTGAGAGGCGGGACCAAAGAGCCAAAGCTCAACCCCCAGAAGCACAAATAGGCGAGTACAAATAGGTGAGTACACACACGAACGTCTCACATAATTTGCATATGTAATAGATAATTAGGGAACCTCTGACGGGCTCATAAATAACGAGGCGCCTCTAATTATGTTCAACAAAGTTCCTTTTTACCTCTGTTCCTTTTCTGTCTCTCGTACTTCTTCAGTACACGCGATAAGTGGTTGGAAGTTCAAGAAGACAAGCTGAAGCGTTTTTGGCAAGGGCTAAGGTGCTTATTAGGATAAAATGCAAAGCCAATATGATTATATACTATTTGGAAGGAATATGAAGGCAAGGAGCTGGGATATAAGGACAAGGAGCTGGGATATAAGGACAAGGAGTTGGGATATAAGGACAAGGAGTTGGGATATAAGGACAAGGATCTGGGATATAAGGACAAGAGGCTGGGATATAAGGACAAGGAGCCGGGATATAAGGACAAGGAGCAGGGATATAAGGACAAGGAGCTGGGATATAAGGACAAGGATCTGGGATATAAGGACAAGAGGCTGGGATATAAGGACAAGGAGTTGGGATATAAGGACAAGGAGTTGGGATATAAGGACAAGGATCTGGGATATAAGGACAAGAGGCTGGGATATAAGGACAAGGAGCTGGGATATAAGGACAAGGAGCTGGGATATAAGGACAAGGAGCTGGAATATAAGGACAAGGAGTTGGGATATAAGGACAAGAGGCTGGGATATAGGAACAAAGAACTGGGATATGAGGATAATGAGCTGGGATATGAGGATAAAAAGCTGGGATATGAGGACAAGGAACTGGGATATGACGACAAGGAGCTGAGATATGAGGATAAGGAACTGAGATATGAGGACAAGGAGTTGGGATTTGAAGACAAAGTACTGGGGTATGAGGGCAAGGAGCTGGAATATAAAGACATCGAACTGAATAATGAGAACAAAAAACTGGGACAATTAGCTGGAATATGACAAGAAGCTGGGATACGAGAACGACAAGGAGATGGGATACGACTTAGCGAAAGAACTGTACCTAGCGACACAGACCATCGGGGGATCGAGCAACGGCCATGCAAGATACAAGGTGGTCGAACAAAATACGAACAAAATGAGTCCACATATGAACAAATTGAGTCTATTAAACGTAAATAAAGTGAACTAATTCCATCGTCAACTCACACAGCAGATACATCAATTCAACTAATTCACCCTCTGGTCCGTTCTCTAGATTTATACCACTCCGTTCAAAATACAGCCTCCTAACCTGACCAGAAATAAGCGAGTCCAAGTATCCCATATAAGCTATTGAGTCCGATGCTTAGAAATTGTGGATATTTATCAGTCAGTACTTTTCATAGTAGGCTGCATTTGGTACGTTTGTCACCATAACGTACCAAACGCGACCTATTAGTTAAGAGGACAAGATGGAAGGGCATCAACTACACCATATATTTCTTGATTTCGTGTCTACCATTTCTTCCCCATTTCCCATACCATTTTTTCCCCATTTCCCATACCATTTTTTCCCCATTTCCCTCATTATTTTTCCCCCCATTTCTCTCTGCCAAATCTTTTGGTCATAAAATTCGAAACTGGATACAGTTATCAGTGAAGATCAACTGAGGACCACAAGCATACCACAATAACGTCATATATCAAATAAAAAAATCGTTGGCGCATGGTTGGGATCGAACCAGCGTCCTGGGTAAGCCCAGACGCACGCTTTAACACATTGGACCACAATGGTTCGAGCCCCGTCCTGATGCAAAAATGTTTCTCAATAGCCAAGAAAAAGCGTCCGGAATGGTTATTTAAGATCAACTCACCTCTACAAGGTTATATATGAGATAAAAAACCGTATGATACTTAAATTTTCAAGACTTATGCAGGAGTCGAACCGTGGTTGGAAGATGTTTCAGCCCCCACTTGCTACCACTCCTCCAAGTGACAGCCCGTCCTCATAAACAAAGGTAAGCTTTGAGGAACGGTAAGCGTTACCTTTGGTTTTCAGACGTAAACACCAGGTGGGTCGGTGGGGGAGGAGAGCTTGGTGGGACGCGGCCAGAACCCGCATATAAGGACCAGCAACCCATGACACTATAATACCATCACTTACCACACCCTGGATACTTAGTACCCTTGGCCACAATAAGAGCAATCTTAATTCGACATTGGATCAGCGTTAATCGTGGATAGTTTGTGCGTCAGTATGCATACTCTTAAGCATATGTATGCACGGCATTTATACACATAAGAGTATATATTATTTTCCTTTCCATTAGCTGGCTCTTGCATCTAGCTGCCTCACGTGAAGTTACTGCTTTCATGGCCACTTCCTTGACTGTGGACATGGCTTCTGGGCTCTTCCTCAGCATTTCAGGAAAAGTGGCACCCATTATAGGGGTCCCTGCCACTGATGTATTCCCTGCTACCTGGGGGATGGTTGCCTGGGCCTGAGTCTGAGGAAGGCTTTGTTTTAGGGTTTTTATCTCCTGCACTGCAATTAGTTCCATCTGCAGTGTACTTATGGTTTCCTTCTTGTCTTTCAATTTCCCTCTCATTTCCCTCCATGCACGAGCGATCAACTCCATGTATGACTCGCACTGTCCCTCTCCTCAACCCGGTCTCGCACTTGCTTTTAGTCAATATCTTGCTTATGAATAAGTGCATGCGAGACATACTAATGTGTGAATATTTGAGTTTACCTTGAAAAGCTGAATAGAAAACCACAACCTAACGTAACCTTATTAGAATGTTAAGATATTACAATTAATACTGAACCAATACCTATATTGATATTACAGTTTTACAAAAATAATAAACAAAACTAAAATATTTAAATAAATTGTAAAGTAACTCAGGATATTGTCAAATTTTGTATAAAATCTCTACTGTTTAATAAAACTGAGATAAAAAGTTAGTGCTCTGAAAAAATATGGTTTAGAAATGTCACATACATACTTATTTATAAGCGAATTAGTGACTATAAGCAATAAGTCATATATGTGCTGTTTTGTGGGAGAACAGGTTGCTCTCCTCCACCTGTGTTCTGTTATCCTACCATCATGCTTCATCCTTTTTTGTTCGCTAGGGTTAGTGTTAGACTACAAGGATCAGAGAGACTAAGGTATAGTGTGTGAGATGTGTGTATGTGTTTGTATGTGTGTGTATGTATGTGCATGTGTGTGTTTGTATGTGTGTGTATGTATGTGTATGTGTGTGTATGTATGTGTACGTGTGTGTTTGCATGTGTGTGTATGTGTTGTGACGATAATCTCCTTCAAGAGATTGAGCCTGCTCTTCCCTCCAAAATTACGTCTTCACAACTATATAAAAGACTATGGAAGAAATGTCCAACAACGACAACAAGCACCAGCAAGGCTTGCCAGGGTGAGCAGAAACGTATGCAGCCCGCCACCTGTTCGGACCCAAATCACCAAACTACCCGTTGATCGCTACGGCTCCGCTGATTGGTCGCCGGTCTGGCTGCACCTGCACTCGCCCCCCAATACTACCCGATGTCTGGGGTCGCCCCAACATCAGTCTTCAGAATGTTCCGTGCTTTCGTAGCCAGCACTCCTCCCAGCTAGACGTTAGCGTGTACTGAGAGAGGTGGTGGCTTTAAGCCAATATTCCAGCACCTCCCACTTAAACTTTGTGTTGCACTTCTTGTTATTTTGCCTTAACGTAACTTTCATTGTGTCATTTAAGTATTCTTATTATTTTGATTCATTGATTTTATTATACATATTTGTTTGTGCATTATTTTCATGTTTTGATTTATTTAACGTAATTAAAATTTCATTGTTAAAGTTTACTTGTGTTTTGTGTGTCTTCTCCTTACCTTACCACAGACGAAGTTCCAGTTTTTCTATTTTTTTTTATAACTATGTGACGAGGCCATACCCCTAGCCTTAAACAGCCGAACACCAACGCGTTACCGTCACAAGTTTTATGGGGGCCTGTCCGGGATCCTCACTCAGGTACTGGTGCCAAGTGGTAATTTATGGTAAGCGTATTTAACTCTGTTAACGTAGCTTTACTATTTTTCATTCAATTTCATTTTTTATAAGGTGCGGTGTATTGTGCATTACGAGAGTAACATATAGTGAAGGTGAGACAACTTTGGATTACGTGGTGACTGTAGGCCTCAGTCATACTCTTAATTGGTCATCTCTCCCTCCTTGTTATTACTCGTATTTACCATCTATGTCCCTTGAATATTTCTCATTCTGACAGATCATCATATTGGTACCCTGGTACTGTGGTCTGCCCCGGGTCAAGAGTACCCAATCTTCTGCAATCTGACTGTAGGAGGACAAAGAGGGCCATAGTTCCTCTAGCTCGGACTTTAGTTGCTGAATTGGGACCTCAGCAGCAGTTCTCGTCACCAGTTGACACCTCGCACCCCTACACGTCAGTCAGAGATGATGATACATACAACGGTAGGGAATTAGCTTATTTTTTCAGAGCACAAAAGTTCGCTAATTCTGTAAGTATCATATTAAATTCAGTAGGAAAAACTTGCTTTATGTCCTATAGAGACTTGGCAAGGTATGCCTACATCCTTGGACTACCAATTTTACTTTTGAAGCATTTAACTGTTTCATTTGTTTTCGAAACTTTGTTTCATTTGTTAGTAGGATTTTCTTGCCCTTATTCTCTTACATGAGTACCGGGTACAAGATTTCCTGCGCCCTTGATTTAATTTAATCATTTAATATCTTTCACTTAACGTTAATTGTTAAAGATCACACAGGATAGGTACCAGTTGCCACGTTGTCCTGTTTCTGACATTTCATTATTGAACATTCGTGTACCTTTATTTGCTAATTTCACCATGTTTCGTCTCCAAACTTTCCGTGCAAATCCAGCAGGTGAAATAGGGACTTTAAGTCGTGCCAAGAGGACTGAATTACAAACTCTTGCACATGAGTATCAACTAGAAGTTCCCTACCCAGCCAACAAAAATGACCTACACAACCTGTTGCTGGATTACTATTTAGAGCAAGGTAAGATAGACTCTGAAACTCATGAAACTTACTATATTGCAGATAAAACTGATTTGGCAACGCTGAAACTCAAACTAGAGCTGGCCAAGATTGAACGTGAGCAGCAAAGGGAAGCCCGCGAACAGCAAAGGGAAGCAGCTGACATACGAAGGGAAGAGATCGCCCTCAAGGAACGTGAGTTTGCAATGCTCCGTGAACGTGAACGCTTACAGCTTGAAACCAAACAACGCGAGTTGGAAATACAACGCGAACATGACAAGCAACAAGCGACTCTGGCTCTTGAGTGTCGTCAACGGGAATACACGTTGGAAACTTCACACCTCGCTCAACGCCAGCAAGCTACTGCCAATCTTCCCATCAGTTTTAATATATCACATGCAAGTAAGTTAATGCCATCCTTTGTAGAAGCAGAAGTTGATGTGTTCTTTACCACCTTTGAAACCCTTGCTAATCAACTCAGTTGGCCTGTCGACCAATGGGCCACACTTCTCAGAGTCCATCTTACAGGTAGAGCTGCAGTCACACTCAGTACTTTGGCGTCTGAGAATGACTACTACACTCTGAAACAAGCAGTGTTGGACGCCTACCTCCTCTCTACTGAAAGTTATAGAAGGAAATTCCGTGACCACCTGAAGGCAAGTACCACTACCTTCCTCGAGTTTGCTAACACGAAACGGAGGTATTTCATGAAATGGCTGGAAGCAGCACATGTCTCTACTTTTACAGAACTCGTCAACCTGATGCTTGTTGAAGAATTCTTGAGACGTGTGCCGCCTCCTGTCCGCCTCTACTTAGCAGATAAAGAAGAAACCGACTACCTGAAGTGTGCTAAGTCGGCTGACACTTACAGCCTCATCCACCGGCTGACACCTGAACCATCCTCCAGTAAGAAGTCGTGGTACAGTTACGAGAAGGTGAGCCCCGATCAAGCTGGTTCACAACTGTACTGCAAATATTGTAGACTCTATGGACATACCATAGACAAGTGTGGTAAGTCTCAATACAAGGGAACCACTGACCAACAACGACCCAAACCAACTCCTCCTAAGTCCGGTAAGCCTGTGATGAATGTTGGTGTTGATGTTAATGATCTTTCTCTTTTCAGTAACCACCTGTATACTGGAACTGTCTCTGCCAACGGTTCAAATCCGGAGGGACGTTTCAAATTGAAGATCTTGAGGGACACAGCGGCTCTACAATCGATCATCTTGAAGTCGGCTGTGCCCAACATAGTCTACACCGGGGAAACGGTCTTCATCACTGACCTCACTGCTACTACTCCATACCCTCTCGCCAGAGTCCACCTGGATTGTCCCTACGTGAACGGGGAAGTCCAAGTCGCCGTCAGGGAAAAGCCTTTTCCCATGCCTGGAGTGCAACTTCTCCTAGGCAACGACTTGGCAGAAGACCTGCAACCAACCAACCTGATCGTCATGGACAAACCCCAGGTGTGTAACTCTGTGCCAAGTAACCCTATTCTTGAGTATGTTCCAGCAGAGGTTCAAGAGAGTGATGAAGTTTCTCCTCCGGTTCTCGTGACCACCCGTGCACAAGCCGCACGTCCACAGCCAGCTGACTCTACTGCTACCGCTGTCCCTCAAGACCCTCAGAAACTACCCCCGCATCTGACCAAGTTGGAGTTCCGTAAGTTGCAGAGGGAAGATCTTACTTTAACACCATTGTTTTTCCAGGCTGAGACTCAACCCGACAGTATTCCTGGGTTCTTCCTAGAGAACGACTTGCTCTACCGCAGATATAGACCCAGTAAACTGAAGGAGGAGGACGATTGGGCCAACACCGAACAACTTGTGATTCCCACCAGCCTGCGGCCCACTATTCTACACCTGGCCCATGGAGCATTCTCCCACTACGGCTTCAACAAGACTTACCATGGGATTCGCCAAGACTACTACTGGCCAGGTATGGTAAACAACGTCAAACAGTACGTAAAACAGTGTCATACATGTCAGATGGCAGGCAAACCGAACGTCTCCATTCCCAGAGCACCACTGATTCCCATACAGGTGCCTGCGGAACCTTTCCACAGACTCATAATAGACTGTGTCGGTCCTTTACCTCGGACCAGTTCAGGTAACGCCTACATCCTAACCGTCCTGTGTCCTACCACCAGATTTCCCATAGCAGTTCCAGTGAAGAACATCACGGCTGCTACGGTTATCAAACATCTATTGAAGATCTTCACTCAATACGGATTTCCCAGGGAGATTCAAAGTGACTGTGGCACCAACTTCACCAGTGATCTCTTCAAAAGGACACTGGAGGAGTTCAACATCAAACAGGTATTGTCCAGCCCCTATCATCCTGCTTCACAGGGTTCTCTTGAACGTAGTCATCAGACCATCAAAGCACTCTTGAAAAAGTTTTGTAGTGAAACCTCAAAGGATTGGGATAAGCAGATTGACCTAATAATGTGTATTTTCAGAAGTCTCCCCAATGAGTCCCTAGGAGTATCTCCTTATGAGATGCTCTACGGCCGTAAGTGCCGTACTCCCCTTAAGGCTTTCAAAGACTCTCTCAGAGATGCCACCTTCAGTGAGCATCAGAATGTGCCCCAGTTT